AGTTCCAGCTGTTTTAGTCATAAAAAATATATCATTTGCTATGCTATTTTTCCTTCTTAATTTAATTAGTTATGTACTTGTCATGCAAATTTATACACTAAATCTTCCCATATTAATGCTGTTTTTCTGCATCGAGATCATCGATTTTAGTTGCATGAGAAAAAATAATCTAGATCATTTGCTTTTTATCACATGGTGTTTTACGAAGTTGCTCCAAAATTTCCTTTACTTTCATTTCAAGATCAATGTTTATTACTTCTACTGGTTTTTAAAGCTTAGAGCGATTTATGAGAGTACAAACTTTAATTGAATTTGACAAAAAAAAAACTGGTGAATGATTGAGTAATTAATTGATAAAAGGAACTAGTTTCATTCATTCATTCTTTGCATTTCAACCCGAAACTATATTACTACTGAAATTATATTTTTTATTATTAAAATCAGGTTTAAAGAGTTGAATACACACTCTGAAGAGTTCCTTCAAAATAAGAAACGGGCTTCAAATATTTCATTTGTATAATATTTATAACTCTATAAAATGTCAATTATTACTATCACAATAATCCCTTAATAAAAAAATGTTTTTTTTAAGTAAATTTAATTTTTTTTTCTATTAATTTCATAAAAATGTTTTTTAATATTTTTAGTGTGTTTCAAAAATAGCAAAAGCTTTTATAAGAACATAATTTATAAATCAAATTTATTAAAAATTATAATATTAAGTTTAATGTAATATATTTTACACGCATTTTTGGACTGCACATTATTTGTCCAAAATGTTCTGATAAATTAACTTTCGAGACTTTTTTGTTAGTTATCCAAAACTGCTTATAAATAATTTAAAAGTTAGCCTTAATAAAATCTTATCAAACTTGTAGAGTTGTAATTTTTATCAGAAATAATACATGTAACAAATAAATGTAAATTTTTAAATTTCTTTGAACAGACACGTTTCAATTAGCTATCATATATTTGAGATTGAATAATATAGAGCTATCAAGCTCCTACTTCTGATTTTTATTGCAAATTTTATTATTATTACATATTTATTGACAATAAAATGTTGATTAAAACTGTTATGTCGTATTTTATATGAATATTTATTATGAATTGTGCCCTAAATTATTAAACCAGATATTTTTTTAATTTGAAATAGTCAGAAGTAAATTACCACAACGAAATTCCAGTTCGCAAATATAATAAAATTGTTAATCTATACCCAACGGTTTTTATATATAAAAAAAATGAAAATCAATTTAGGGATATGTTTAAGAGCTTGCTCACACACACATACATATAAACATATATATATATATATATATATATATATATATATATATATATATTAGGGGGGTCCTTAATATGGACATTTTCGAATTTCCTTGCTCCCAGGAAATGGTTCCAAATTGATAAGAAACAATTCTCTGAAAGTTTTAGCTCTTAATAATAACTTTTAGATAGTGCGCAATTCAATCAAACTTCGTATGGAAATAGCATGAAATTTTTTTTGAAAATTGAAACAAAATTTTTTTAGGTATTTGCGACAAATGAATTAAAAGTGAAAATTTGTGTCATTTTTATTGCAAATGCTATTTCCATACAAAACTTTGATTGAATTGCGCTCTATCTAATAGACAATAATAATAATAAAAGACAATATTGAGAGTTAAAACTTTCAGAGAATTGTTTTTTATCAATTTGGAACCATTAGCCCTTGGGAGCAAGGAAATTCGAATATGTCCATATTAAGGACCACCCTGAAATGCATATAAGTATGTATGTATATATATATATATATATATATATATATATATAAGATTAAATAAATTATAGAAATTATTAATAACGTAATTAATTTGGAAAATGCTTAACATATAATAAAAATTCGATAGAAATATTGGGCAAAAAGACATTGTGATAAAGATACTTGAACTATTTTTGAGAAATATTTCAATCCTATTTAAAATAAATATTTTTAAAAGACTTTGTAAGAATAAACAGCAATAAAAAATTCTGATCTAATTAGAAATTATAAATTCACTACATTCTGAAAACAATCTCATATGAAATAAGCAGATCAGAATTTCTAATATAATATCAAATTGAAGTTATTGAAGCCTTTAACGGTTCTACATTTGTACATTTTTTCTTATATAAAATAAAATGAAGCAAATATTAAAACTATAAAAAAACACGTTAAAACTAAAATATTCAATCTTCCAAGGCATATAAAAAATAATGTAAAAAAATATAAATAATACCTTCAATAGTCCCATAGTTGCTTCGATATTTTTTATTCACAACAAAAACGTACCAAAAAGTTTGAACAATTTTATAACGAACTACACATCTTAAAACACAAATTTCTTAGTTCTTGTTTTACTTATTAAAAATAATAAGTTAAACAAACACTGCACTGAAAAATATCCTTGAACTTGTTAGAGCTTTTACACTAACTGCTTCAGCGGAGCAATGAAGAAAAAATTAGAAGGCTCGATAAATCACATTAAAATGTTCTTATACCATTTATTCAGATTTTTTTTAAACTATTACTAGTGTGTTGAATAATATTTTTTTCCAAATTAACCCTATGTTACCACTTCGGTGTGTGTCGGATAAATGCTGCAAAACCCAAAGACCATCTCGTATATATGAGCAATGACCCACATCAGCGTCTGATTGTTAAAACGTCTTCCATTTCTTCGTATGACGCTATGGGACTCTTTCACACCTCACTGCCGTTCTTGAGTGGTGGATGTCAGGTGCTTACCTGTACCTGAGGATTTAAGGAAATCAATCAAAAATGTTTTTAAAAGCTACCCCAGAATTCCGTACCTGTTCAAAAATAAGTTCGAGGAATTGTGCTTTGTCATTTTAAATATTGAGAAATCTCTAGAATCTTAGAGTTATATATTACATAAACTTAAAAAATAAATAATTTGAAACTGGAGCACAAGTAATAATGAACACTATTTTGGAGCTTTACTTTTGTGACCTACACTGAATAAATATAGTAAACAATTATAATATAAAGCATACTGTTTTATATATCTTAGTTGCCAATGATTGACATGAATAAGGGTGTTTTGATATCGATAATTACCTTACCGTAGGGTGAGTTATAGTAATCGCAAAAAAATCAAACAATGAATTTTTTTATATATATATCTTTACGTTTCAAAAGTTTCTGAACATTTTGGCACACCTTAAAAAAACGTATGTTTGTGTGTGTATGTATGTATGTATGTGTGTATGTATTTGTTTGTGTGTGCGTGTGTGTGTGCGGATACAAATTTTCGTCGACGATTTCGGGAACACCAATAAACCGAATTGAATATTTCAAAAATCATTCGATTCGTATTGATTAGGAGACGTGCTGATTAGTTTTTGGCAAAGGCAGGTCTGAAGATACGGGGCAAAAGGTGCCAAAAACGGTAACTCAGTTTTTAAAAGAACGGAGTGTTCGATTTTAATAATTCAGAAAAAATTTTACTTGTATTGACAAGATGAAAAATTGATTAAATTTTTAGGAAGGCAGTTTTAGCGGTATTGGAGATCTAGTAAAAAAGTTAAAAAATGCCATTTGGCGATCAAAAATGATCATTGGAATAATGCAAATCAATTATCAGATATTTTATGGAGATTTTAATAATATATATCAATTTTGTTTTTATTTCTATGGGTTCCGTAACATCGTTTGTCCTGTGGATGGCGACGCGGCGCTTACGCGCTTCGATATTTCATCTCTATGCAGTTAAAGCAGTGCGATTGCTTTGAAAAAAAGATCAAAATTTCCATAATACTTTAAAATAAAAAAAACATTTTTTTCCAAAAAAGTTAATTTTTTTCAAAAATGTAAAATTTCTCAAAAATCTAATTTTTTTAAAGTTCAAAATAAAAATGTAATCCTTTTTAAGAAATTTATTTTTTGGTACGGTAAGATCCAGTAATTAAAGCACCATACACCACTAGTTTTATTTCTGAATTTTACTACTAATTTTTTTTGATAGTCGAAGTTTCTAACTTCCGATTTGCTTTATTACCAAAATTTTTGATTGGAGGTTTTTATCATTGGAGGCATTAGACCATCGATATTTTTGTCAATTGATATTTTTGTTTATCAAAAATTCAGACGATTAAAAATAAAAACTATGGAAATGTTTAACTATTTAAAGCGTTAGTTGCCATGCCAATCATTTGTGCCTGACGACGATAAGATGTTCTAAATGAGCCTTGTCAGACATTCGTTTGTGTTTTTCCAGGAACTTTGTCAAAAAAATATATATGCATTAAATTTCCTTGACACTTTTTTTAACTAAATTATTTAATGTAAGCATAGCCCCTTTAATTTTTTTTTTTTTTGTTATAGTGGCGATTAACATATCTTACACTTGCTAACGAAATATTTTTCTACCTAATTTTAATAATCAACTTAATTATTGAAATGTTAACTAATTTTTATTACAACATATTTAATTGAATAATATTCGTATAATTTCACTTATTCAGAATTTTAGATTTTGACTAATTTTACATTAATTTTGGTATCATAGATTCAAGTATATGTTTTACATAGTCGGTATTACAGAGCCATTTTGACTTTCTTGTATTTAAAATTATATCAGCAAAATTATTCAAAACCTCAAATAAAATTCTGATATAAATACGTCTGTATTAAGAAAAAGGACAAAAAATTGTAATTATTGTAGCACTTCACTAAAGATGGCAAAGAGCTTTTCTATTCTGTTATCCGTCGCTAAATTCTTCATATGTGATTAGAATAATTATTTTCTAAATAGCATGGGTTTGTTGTGTAATTTATATTATTTTTTATTTATTACTTCAGTAAATTTTAAAATAGAATTTATTACCATCTTTTTAATTAAAATATTTTTATTTCAATTTTTTTTTAGGTATTGATTTTTTTAATATCATTCTGATTGCTTTGTCTGTGGATGGCTATACATTTCTTCTGGTTTATGTTCTATTGTCCGCGCTAGATCAAAGCATCAATCACCTTTAGGCAAACAACAACAATATGTCATAATTTTCTTCAACAGGTACGCAAGTTTTTTTATTTTGTAATGCATTTTATTATATTTTTATTTTTATTATACGGTTATAATGCTATTAGTTACATAATAGTATTAGTATCGGTTCATTAGTTTGCCATAGGTTTCGATAGTACCTAGAAGTATTTTCATTTATTATTTTATAGATATATCTTAATCTGGACGTTTTCATAAAAATTGAGAAATATATTTCATTACATATGATATATCGCGGCGTATTCTTAAATGATACCATGTATGAACATTTTAACCCTTTCCACTCGCAAATTCCGAAATTAATATGTATTTTGCCGTGGGAGTGGCGGCATCCGAGTGGAAAGGGTTAATAGCTTAGCTAAGATATTACATCAACTCCAAAACCAAGAATGAAATAAATTTTCTAATGACCTATTTGGTTCAACTAACAAAAAAAAGTTTTTAGTTATTACTATACAACATAAATCACTACACAGAACTGCATCATTGAATGTAGCTTCGAGGTTTATGTCTACATTTTAGATGATAGATGATATATAAAAATAATTAAAAAAAGGCTAAACAACAAACATTTAACAATAAATTATTGTGATTGCATATTGAATGTATCTGTATATACGACTATAAATTAAGTCAGCCTTAGCTATATTTTTAATTCAATATCTACTATCGTAATCAACATATGAGCATAAAATCTTGGCAATATTTGAATAAATATATAGCTCAAAGTCAAATATGTCAAAATGGTTTTGTTAAAATAAATTCGAAATGGAAAACCTTACATGAACCTTACATTCAATTCTATCACCTGTCATATGTTGGCTTGATCGGATAAAACAAAATGTAACGCTGAAAGAAATATATCTGCTGGTAATATATTGACTGAAATATATATTTTTTGTACATGTTATAAAATAGATATGATATATGAGATAAAATTACTAAAGAAACGTGGGAAATAATCACTATTTAATATTTATTTATAATTAGTTATTTAATAATTAATTATATTTAATTTAATAATAATTAACTAATTATTAATATAATTTAAAATTAGTTATATAAAAAATATTAGAAAAACGAGATACCCTTAACACGTTTTTTTATTTCGAGGCAGAGTCCGATATCTGTCTACGATTTTTGCTGTTCTATTTCATTGTTACATATTTTTACATCATTTTAAAAGTATAGAAAATTTTCCTAAGATGTTTGTTTTTAGCAGAAAATCCGATTTTTTATTTTGTTTCCTCAATGTTCCTTGTTTTCTTGTTTCAAGTTAAAACGTTTAAATGAAAATTGGTTGCATAATTTTACCCCTACAATCTTTATCCATTAGAAGTTCTAACATTTGCTTGTAAGTTCTAAGACGTTCAAAAATTGCTCCTAAAAGCTGCGGAACCCATTGCGATTATGTTCAACGTTCGTAATAAATACATATCTATAAAGATCTGTGCTATATAAAATATTCGATTTCATATTATTTATTTTACTCTTCAATAAATTCAATATTGAATTATTGAATGCCCTTTATCTAAATTATGTTTCATGCTTCTAAATTTTATTCAAATAATGCTTGAACGACCCAGTGAGATAGCTGTTCAACGGCAAAATATACTTTTATATAAACTTTTCACGAAAAAAACTCAACTAAACTTTTAAAATCAGAAATAAAAAAAACAGCTCCTTTAGATCACTTTTCACGAAAAAAAACCGATCGTTTAGTGGTTTAAGAGTTAATAATTGCAATTAAAATAAGTTGGTTTCTTACCTTGTTTTGTATAACAAAAATGTTATGATTGGTGAGGATTTTTCACTTATTACTAAAAACTATCTATCAAATTTTATTTCTTGGTGTCATGGGCAGTTTATTATAAGCTGTTCATATAATTTAGTTAAATAAGTTCCAACTTCTAATAAAAATTAATTTGTAATTTCTTTTTTCTCTCGCATTAAAAATTCAAAGCTTACTAAAAGATAATATATAGTATTTAAATATAGTATTTAAAGCCCCATTCTCTACAATAATATAATAACTAACAATTTGAAAACGTATCTTAAGCTGCTTTTTACGAGCCGTTAAGTCTCGAAGTAACATTTTCAAGATAATATTTCACATCTATAAATTTCCGTGTCTATTAATATTTTTATTAACATTTGTGAAACGCATTATCATTTGACTAAAAACATTTGTGTTGTTTATAATATGTCGAAAATAGATGAATTTGTTTACAATGGAATATTTGTATTTAAGTTAAATTTGGGAAAATAAGTAACATACTGTCTAGATTATAATTCACGTGATATTTGCGATATATTGGCAAATATTTCGCTTGAAATATAAACTACGATTTGAATGCTATTCAAAAATAGATCCTTGTTCAGTTAAATCGCTATTTGGCCGAATCTGTCCATACTTGCCTGTTTACTTTTACATCAATGGCTTTTGAAGCTTCAAGATTAAATTCATGAGTCAAATACATACTACTGTTTTTTTATAAACCATTTTAGTATTTTTGGGATTTTTTTACTTAAATCAGGATGTCGTTAATTAAAATATAGAATTTATAACACATATGCTCTAAAATTAATGAAAATTTTCTCAATGTATGATGAACGATATAAAGTAAAAAATGAACTCACAAATGAATCTACTGTAACATCCAATATTTAAATTTCTACAAATCAATTTATGATGTGAATTAAAAACCAGCAAACATGTTTAGATCGAAATGAAATGCTTTTATTTTAAATAAAAGTATATTCCAAATATTGTAAATAATTTTACATTCTAAATAGGATTTGTTTCAGCTTTATTTGAACTTTCTCTTCAAATTTATTTGAGAAAAACATAGGGATTAAAATAATATAATTTAAACATGAGTGCTTTCAAATAATTATATATTTTCAGTATAAAATTACAATTATTAGTTTCTTTACTTCAAATATACATACAAATTTTACACAACACAAGATAAAGTCATGATATAAAATAAATATTAATTTTACAACTGGATAACATATAAAAACTTATTATTACATTCATTTATAAACATATATATATATATATATATATATATATATATATATATAACTTAAGTATTATTAAATATTTTGATCTCGAATCTGCGTATATTTGAACAAAATTGAAATATAGCCAAACACGTACTTGCTTCTAATTTAGACTATTTATAAGGAAAATGCGTTGCAAATATTTAAGCAACATTAATTTAAATCATGGCAAATCGCCAAAGAAAATTTCCTTGAGATCATTTATGACACGATCTCAGAAATAGCAATAAATGTCACAAAAATTAAATTAAATTTGATTCATTATATATAGAATTATAATTATATTTTATTTGATTCATTTCATGATATATTGAGTATTTATATAAAAACGACTAGACGTAAAAATATCTATAATATATATAACTTTCGCATTTTCTTTGTAAAAATATATAAAAATAGGCTAGTGTTAGATATGATAAATTTGGGGCAATAAGATTTTTGGTACGAGCACTAATCTTAATAAAAAAAATACAAATTTAAAAATTTTGCTATAGTTGACCTATTAATAAACCAAAATGTAAAAGTTGTACTTAAGATTCTTTATATTTTTAATTTGTTCTCATTGCACCCGTTTAATCTAGTTTTATAATACACAAACTTCTTATAAATTTAAGTATAAAATCTATAAATTATCACACAATAAACGCTAGTCTTTCAGAGTAAATAATATAACCCTTAAGACCTTGATTCTTAAATTAATGGTAATATCAACCACAAAATATTGGAAAAGAAAATCGTAACGCTAAATGTTTGCAAATAGTTCCATGTCACCCAATTTTAAGCACCTTAATAAGAATTCTATTAATTTTTGAGGCATTCAATTTATAAATTAAATTTTCTATTAAATGATAAATTCTTATTGAAATTATCAAAAATAACAACTGATTTATTTTTCTATGATTTGTTATAAAAAAACTATATGTGAAAGTTATTCTGACCCTTGTAAAAAAAGTCGAAGCACATTTAGTATAATGTTTGTGTAATGCATAATGAAGTACCTGTACCTTTTTTAAAGGTTTTAAAAATGATATCGCAAAAAACTTACTTTCCGATAAATATTTTTAGTTTAAGTTAAAATGTACTGAAAGTTCCGTTATCATAATCATTCAAATAATAAACTTTTTTTGAAGCAGCGAATTCAGACCTTAACTTACACAAGTACACAATTGTGATTGATATGTTCCAAGCCTTTGATGAAAAAGTAACAGCAATTTTCTGTTTTCACCACAGACTCGGATTTTAGTATGGTATAAAAACTATATACAAAACTAAATCTACATTTCTTAAATAATATAAAACTGAGTTCTCATAATAATCAGACATCCAAGTCCCATTCTTCCTCTTCAAGTTCAGAAATCTTAACCTCAGGGAAAGTCAACTGCTTCAGTTTTCCATGAGCACGAGGTAACAGCGGGTTGTTCCTTAGGTCGATTTCGCGTAAAGATGGGGCGTTGCGCAGTTTATCGGTGTCCACATCTGAAAATGAAAACAAATATATTTTATTATTATCATTTTTAACTTTCCGTAGGGTGGTAAGTTATAGTAATCGCAAAAAATCGAAAATGAAAATTTTTATATATCTTTACGTTTCAGAGGTTTCTGAAAACTTTGCATACCTTAGAAAAAATGGATGTATGTGTGTACACGTGCGCGGATGCAAATTTTCGTCGACGATTTCGCAAACACGAATTAACCGATTTGAATAATTTTTTTTTTATTATTTTTTTTTTATTTTCATTCTGCAATCTATAAAAATAATTATATTTAGCAGATTTGAATAATTGAACAAACTTTTGATTCCCACTGATAAGGAGGCATGCTTTTTAGCAAAGGCAGGTCTATCCGTTTCGGAGATACGGGGCAAACAATGTTAAAAATGATATTTCAATTTTCAAGATAACTTTGATTTGAATCAGAAAGATTCCAAAAAAACATTTTACTTGTATTGATCAAATGAATAAATGGTAAAGTTTTTGTAAAGGCAGGCCCAGCGTCTCCGGAGGTTCAATAAAAAAAAAGTAAAAAATAATGCCATTTGGCGATCAAAAATGAACATTAGACATATGTACATCGTATTGTATAAACTTTATAATAATAAGTACAAATGTTGTGTACATTTTTATGGGTTCCGTACCAATGTTTACACGTTAGACGTCTACGCGGCGCTCACGCGCTTTGATATTTCGGCTCCAAATCAGCTATATGCAGCGCGATTGCTCATAAAAAAATCAAAATTTTCAAAAAAAAAAAAATCTAAACGCAAAAAGAAATCAAAATATTAAAAAGAAACAAATTTTTTATTTTAATAATTTCAATATTTCTCAAAAATCTAATTTTTTAAAAGCTTTGCAAAGTTTTTTTTAATAATTTAGTTTTCGGTACGGAAATTTACCTTAAGGCGTGATGCGATGCACCACTAGTTATTATTATTGTTATTTTGAAAAGCAATCAGAACTTTAGAATACTAAAAAGCTGTTTTGCTAATTATACTTAATAATAGTTCGTAGTTGGTTTAGTCTAGCAACCAGAACAGTTGTCCCATCTTTGTCTGATGAATTATTATTACGAAATCTATAATAGGGCCATAATAGGGCGAATATTTTATTGATGCAGCAATGCCGGATGATAGCTGTTTTCGCATGGAAACATATTACTATCTATATTTCCAAGTGAAAACTGTTGTCACTGCTGCTTGACAACAGGCTGCTTGGATTATTATTACTCACTTACGAATTTAACAGTTGAATTTGTATAGTCATATGCTTCTCCGTTTGAAAATCCCCTCAAAAAATATATTTGGTAATTGAATGATAATGGTTTTGTTATAAATTAGACAATTTTAAATTATTACCATTCATCCAATAATTACGAATATTGTGATTTATAAAAAAATTATCATAATCAATTAATAAGCTAATCATTTCAAGTTCTGAAATATACTTTCAATTTTAGATTATATCAAAAGATTGACATATTTATTAATTTTATCATAGCTCATTTTTCCTACCGGCAATATGATTGTGATTTGCGTAAATCCTCGTCAATTTCGGAATTTTGAAGACGACATTTGGCAGTGCAATATAAGTGTTATGAGAAATATCCAGACGTTCCAAATTTCCAAGATCCACAAGTTCATCAGGAAGCTTTGCCATTTGATTGTGAGACAGATTCAAATCTACAATACAATGATGATTAAGTTAATTTGTTTATCGATAATAATGAAATTATAATCTATAGCTATAATTTATTACCTGTGATAAGATTAAAGTTTGTCGCGAATTTAGGCGGAATTTTCGTGATAACGTTGCCACTTAAATCGCAGGTTTTGAGCTCTGTATGACGCATCAGGTGGTAGACGGCGTCTGGCACTTGCATCAGCTGACATTCTGAGAGATCTGGAATTAAAAAAAAGATTAATTCCATGTTTCTTGCAACATTTCTTAGTTATATTAACATATAACTTGAATTTATATCATGCAGACAAAGAAATCTTATACTGAAGATTAGCGTTCAAATAAATCTGTTATTTTAATACTAAAAAAATTGTAACTATACATACATACACACACACATCCATTTTTTCTGAGGTATGCCAAAATGTTCAGAAACCTTCAAAATGTGAAACAATGCAAAAAAATTCATTTTCAATTTTTGGACGATTACAATAGCTTATCCTACGGGAAGTTAATAAATACCAATGAAAACCGTTGGGTTGCTTGAGTACAATGTGAACATCTTATAGAATGTCTTATTATGATTTCTTGTTGCTATATATGTATAACAATGTTTGATCAGAAACTTTATCACTATTTAATTATCACTATAACATAGACCCCCCATTTTTATTTAAAGGACATCAAATTTTGTTTTTATCTGACGTAGGCCTTTTGCGTGTTGTCATAAATCACCTGGAGGTCCATTTGGTTGAAATATGCACAAATATGCAATAATATAAATATTAGTAGTCAATAATTTAGATTATAGACAATTATTGACATTACTTTTTATTTATTCTTATTATTTATTATTGAGTTGTAAAAAATTGATTGGGATTTTAGAAAATAAAAATTTGAGTTCGTTAGTTCATGTTAAATCTAACTAGTAATCGTCATTTAACAAAATTTTCAATATTATTTATTGTTCTATCTACGCATCAAAATAACCATTGATGCTAATATATATATCAATTTTAAAAAGTTCAAATAATTGCATTGAGTTACAAATTTATTACATTGTTTTAAATATTGTTAAAAGCATTCACATGAATTTCTGAACAATTTACCAAATTCAAGTCAGTATATTACGATCAAAATTTTAACGTTTTCTCCATATCTGACATAATGAAACATATCAGTTTTGAAATGATTATATTACATTACCGCTATAATAATGATGCTGTATGAAACCACTCAGTATCAGTCATTAGTAATTGGATCATAATAATAGTCTACATCAAATTTTGCAATTTTGTTTTTTATACCTTGTATAAAAGTAATTGCTGTAATAATTACTTAAACTTTTTTGCGTTGAGCAATTAAATCAGTATGCGTTCTTAAGTAGTCCATTATTATTAATCGCAACGCTTTCATTAAATGCATTTGTATTGGTAATTAATAGCAAGGCTGGATGTTATTTAAAGATTAAAATTACACTTCATAAAATATACTTAATATATTATAATAGTATATTTATTATATTCGGTAATTTATTATTATTGAACCATTTGCCTTCGAATTAAATTTGGAGATGGATATCGTACTACTTGGAAAAAGACAAAGGGTTAAGTTAATTATTGTCTTCTTTGATTTAAATCAATAAAGATAGCTTTCTTCAGTTATTAAGTGAGTTTTAATCAAGTGAGCGAGTTTTTAAGGATTTTTGGATCCGCCCCTCTCCCTTGGTGATACAACCCCAAAATTCAAATTTAATTAAATTTGGACGCCCTCTTACCACAAACATCACGTGTATATTTAGTTACTTGAACATCTGTAATTTTTTTTTAAAAAAATTGCTAAACGTGATATCTTACTACACCCTTCCCTCCCCCACGTTGTGATTTTTTGTCAAACCCCTCCTCCCCCTGTTCAAAAAATATTGGTATTTAATGCTACAGTTGTTGGTTGTTGTTTTATCCTATTTTTAAGATTTTTAATATATTTCTAACTAATAGTATATCTCAAACTAAAAATTATTGAACTTAAATTATTAATATTTTATTACTATCTCTAACAAATTGAATACTTGTGTTAGATTAATTAATTAATAGATTCTGATTAGAATCACTCCAGCACTTGGAAAAATTGAAAACTTTGAATTTTCATTATTTACCCGCGTAGACCTATAATATTTTAGTATGTTATTTCAATCTATGAAATTTATCGGTATACAAAGTTGCATCAGAATCTTCAAAAAGAAAAATTATCAGGATATAATTATAAAGAAATCGGCCGACTTTACCAAAAACTGATCAATAAGATTCTCAACCAATATCTTTCGAATAGTTTTTTAATAGTTAAAATAGATTCAAGATTGAAGTCTAAAACGTGGACAAAAAATTTTACACTTATTTGCCAATTACAAAAAAATGGCCTGGCCGATCTTCTCAAAATACCAACGATAGTCCTTCTAGAGCAGCAGTCGGAAAACTTTTTTAATCATTTCCTCAAATTATTTTTGTCTAAGTTGATATTACCCCCATGGCAAAGAGAGATTTGCCCCTATTCGAACATTTAACAAATGCAGTGAATATCAATTAAAAATTCATACTTTTTACCCCCAAAAATCCATTTTTACCCCCTTTGAGGTAATTTACCCCGGTTCTCCGACCACTCTTCTAGAGATGAATCGAATGGCTTTTAAATTTCTGAACTTTTTCCTGGTGTTTTTGAGAAAAGATGAACATAAGGTTAAAAATCAAAATAAACTATTAGGTCAAAAGTTGGCTAACATATACACCCGACACACACATATACTTTTTCTAAATTTGGTCTCATTAGTTTCAGAATGACTTGAAACATTGAGAGTACATAAAATTAGCAAATCGGATTTTTTGCGAAAACAAACTCTTTTAGCAAGTTAATTATTAAAGAGAGAGTATAAAATCAAATTTCAGTCTATATTTTAATCAAACTAAATCGCCCGACTAGATCTTCTACTATTTCTAGTAGATATTACGCACAGTTATGCAATTGTGAGTAAATTTCACATAGTCTTTGTCAGAATCACGACTTCGCAAGGTGTAGAACGCAATGGGGAAACGCGTGGCGTGCATTGATATAATGTATTTACAATAATAAATTATTCATGACAGATATATTATACAACAGTTGTACGGCAGTGATTTTGTGTCATTTATGAACGAAAGTTTAAATGATCGATAGTAATTTACATCGATTTGATTACTTGCTATAATAGGAAGTACAAGTTTTTTTAAGGAAAGTATGAACATCATTAATTATTATTATTAATGAATGCAAATCCATGACGAGAGATCATCAAATTTTTTATCTCTTTTCTCTGTCTTACTTATAGTTTTACAATGATATTTATTCCTTTATCTTCACTTTTTACCTTCAATGTTCATGCCCGTTTTCATATTATATGGTTTATAACATTATTCAGGATATTTTAATTTAAAATTGTAGGAAAAATTTGAAGAATTATAAATACCATTTTGTAAACCGTTATTTGAGATTTCATCGCTTTTCGTTTTTAAAAAATATAAGAGCATTTTTTTGTTAATAAATGGTTGCTGAAGGAGGCATCCCACAACCACAAAAACTTAAAAGTATGCTATATACATACATTAGGGTGGTCCTTATTATGGACATTTTCGAATTTCCTTGCTCCCAAGGGCTCAAATGGTTCCAAATTGATAAAAAACAATTCTCTGAAAGTTTTAGCTCTTAATATTAACTTTTAGATAAATGTGAAAATTCGTATTATTTTTTATTGAAAATTAGACTCTCTGCAAAATTTTTGAAAAATTTTTCATGCTATTTCCATACAAAACTTTGATTGAATTGCGCTCTATCTAAAAGACAATATTAAGAGTTAAAACTTTCAGAAAATTATTTTTTATCAATTTGGAACCATTTGAGCCCTTGGGAGCAAGGAAATTCAAAACTATCCCAGCCTAATATACATATAATATTTTTATAAATATTATGTTAAAGCCAATTAAATAATTTTGACATTATAAATTACATTATTAAAGGGTTAGTGACTTCAAAATTAGAATAAATGTTGATTCCGCTATATGATCTGTTAGAATAGATTGTCATAGAATATAAAACCTATTTTAAGAAATTGCTTAAATAGAATTTAAACTACGTTGCTTTTTTAAATTTGTTTGTTTTAAATTTTAGAGTCAATTGTTTTTAAAAAGTTTAGAGTCAATTAAATGATACGAAAATTCAAAATAAAGGCATTTTAATAAAATGATGGGAAGATTCAAAATGGAGGGCATTTCAATAAAATATTGTAGCAAATTGAAAATTGAATGTAAGAATAGTCGTTGTTATTTCCCAAAAGCAAACAACGGTGACCAAATTAAGAATGTAACATAGTATCTATGACACTGTGGTACATTCTATTATATCTGTAAAAATGTTTGACGTTGTCCAATATTTTATATATTAAAATATCGTTAAATAAATTATATGCAAAATTACATATTTTTAACATGACATGAATTTATCTTTATTTATTAGCTCTTTGAGGCATCATAACGTATTAATTTTTCCTAATTTGCTTATAATTATATTATTTATACTCATTTATAATCTTTGTTTTGTATCTTCATTATTCTTTATTTTAATTACTTATTTATTTAATTTTTAATTTGTGTATACATAACACATTAGCTTATGGGATATGTATTCTAATTGCTAATTATAAATAAATAAATAAAAAAAAAAATTATTAGCTCTATATAATATCGGTAACAAACATGTGTATATGCAAGGATTGCCTGTAAATATTCATTATAAGTAGCGATTTTTTCAATTGTTTTACCCAGATTCTGCGTTTCCTCGGCTTCTTCACATTTTTTAATAACTTTGGTGACGCCAGAAGCCATTTCAATAACCGTGTCTAACTATGTTTTGTTTAATAATAATGCTTGTAAATTAGATTTTATATAAATTATATGTAACTTTAAGAAGAAAGTTGTACGCGAAGTTCGTTTTTGTAAAGGTAGAGAGAACTGAAACCATGTAACATCATTGTATCAATGGTATTTTTGACACACTCTTAGCTAGATCGGACAAGTTCGTAGTGAATCGGATTCAAAAAATAGGACAGAGCCGAAATTTTTGGCTTTTATAATATATTTAAACATCTATATAAATGGAAATATATTTGATAAATTTGTTTAAAGCGATGCAATATTTAAAGCGATGACAAATTCATCTTTTTTTTTTACTTGGTGCTTATTTTATTTTATTTATCTATATTTATTTATATTTATACAACACAATTGTACAAATATATTTAATATTTCATAAATTAAATTCAATTAAAAAACTTTTAGTCATCGTGGTCAGCACCAATATAAACCAAAAATATAATGCAAATATTTAAATATATTTTTAGTTATTTTTTGCTTTCTAGATTAATCATTCAATATATTGCTATAATAAATTCAACGAATTTATTTAGATTTAGATTGAATCTAAAACTCAAATATTTTGAATCTCTACTATATTGATCAAACCTTTTAATTAGTTTAATCATTATGAGAAGTACTTTACCATATAATTAATCATCTTTAAAGTGATACTTTTTATTATATAATTAGATATACATTTAAAAGTGTGACAAAAAATGCAGAAACATATATAATTCAGATATTAAATATCATTCTTGTATTTGGAGCACATTGCAATCCGTGCTGTACTTAGATTTGGACTTTTCAAATTTCTGATTGTAAAACTTTGTAGTGAATGATTTGTTTTTATTTTATAACTTAAGAGCTATTAATTTCTTCTATATCATTATACGATTATTTTCTTAAATATAAAAAAGTTCTGAAACATATATAATTGGGGTGCTACATATTTCGTTCTCTATTCTACGATAATTTTTAAACCAAGCTAAATTATTTGTATTTTTAATTGTTTAAGTTTGAAATGAATGCTTTTTTTATTAATATTTGAATTATTAATATCTTTAACTTGTATTAAAACGATGCTTTTTTATAACAATAATTCATGTATCTGACACATATTCACAAAAATTGTAAAATTAAATGATTGTGTTAGAAGCGACGCCTATTATTAATTATTTACTACATATTATTTTAGTTTTTTTGTTTTTTAACTTAAACATTTATCATTTACCGATCGCGATATGAAATGTAGGTACTATCAATAATATGTAGGTCAAATTATTGCACATATTTCCTGCAAATGACTCATAAATCCATAAGCTTCTGATTATTATATCACAAAATAATTAGCGCGTAAATTTCTAACGAAAAATATTTCATCACTTTCTGTTATAATCATAAGCAGTGCATACAAATTTTATATAAATATTCATAAATTTTAAAACGCAATGCCATTGCCAAATATTGAGCTCATCACATCTTATTATCTAACATGGCATTAAAAATGAAAGTGTAGTAATTTATATCTACCTTCCGAGTTTCATTCTCTCTCAAGAGAATTGTTAGATGTTTTTCTTTGTATTTCTTTATTACACATTATGTTATTATCGACATTTGAAATTGAGTTCATATTAAAGAAATGAAATGTTACATTAGTTACTTTTGATTAGTCTTAGGCAATTAAAAATGCTATACATATATGCCCAAGTATGTGGTAATATGTATATATATACATATATATATGTATATGTATATATATATATATGTATATAATAAAATTTATAATAACTTCTAAACTGTTTCGTTAAAATTTTCACCATGACTTGATTGAAAATCATTTCAACTACATATAGCACATATTTTTTCGTCAAAAGATAACTTGTTATTAACATAATTAAATATTTTAATTAAAAAAGCTCTGATTTGTTTGTTGAACTACTTCACAATGTTTCGTCCAATTTTATAATTTTTTTAACCCGTAATAAAATAAACCTTACTAAATAAATTCAACCCTAAAATTTCAGTTAGGTTAGTGATTTATTCATTCATCATCATAATGACCTAAAGCATTCCACTAAACATTAACTTATGGTACCAAAAAATCGACCTAAAAGATCTTCATATTTTTCAACATAGTATGTGATTTTAATTACTACATTAATGATAGTATGGAATTACTGATTGATTACTCAGCGCAAATGCAATCATTCGTTGGATTTCACTAAACATAAAATATTGCAGGTGATTTTATCCAAGTTTAATCAGCTGTAAAACAAGTTTGTGCAAATTGTAAACTTGATTGTCGAGTTTGTGTTTATTAATTAAATGTGTACCGTTATCTCGTATGCAGTTGCATCTGAATATGGATTATTACTATTAGGTAGATATATTGGAACTAGTTGCACGTGAATATGGATTATTATTATTTTTATGGCTGTGAGCTCTTAATACACTTATTTTGAACTTTGCTGGTGAAATCTTTTTATTTAAAAAATATTAATTTAGAGATGCTTTTTGCATTAAATCTTTGTATTTTAAGCAATAATTAGTGATAAGTTTGTATTGGAAGTTATAAAAAGAAATAAGGAATGAATGTTGGGAATATTAAAAAAATGCATTATTACATATAATCCTCATACTATTTTTGAACAAGTATATTTTTTAAGGTTTCGTTAAAAACCTTCTCTTTTATCTTACGTATAAAAAAACTAAAATAAAATCTTTTTATCCTATCTGGCAGTTTAAGCAACACCTTAAAATAAAATATTTTTATCTAGAAACCCGCAAATAAAATTATTAGCAATAATCAATTAGATCATTTGTCAATCAATCATTAGTGACCCCATCATCGCAATTTCTCATTAATATTTTGTGCATGTTCAATAACTTATAATAAAATATTTCAGAAATTCGACTAATATTATTTTTGATTATGCTAATTTGATGTATTTATGTCGGAACAAACTAGTTTTCAAATAAACCTTATATTATCTAACCAAAACCTCAGAAGTGATGACTTGTTCTTTCACTAAATATCTGATTCCGTTAATGTAGAGATTTATATTGTGTTAGTCTCTCACAATCTGTACTAACATTCGCTTTCTATATGCAGGAAATGAAATTGAACTTTATACAATCTTTTTGCAATGTATAAACGTGTTGATTAAACCAAGCTAACGTCTAAATGATGTGACTTTTCATTCACCAAGAATTCAATTTAAAAGCTGTATCTGTCAATGGTTTAATAATGATATAATCTATAAATAATGTTATTTGCTGCTACTTTCCGTTAGTTCTTTTGTTATTCAAGTTTTGTACAAACCTATCTCGATACTGGTTCATATCTTTTTTTTTTTGTAGTATTTATTGAAGAAATGCGTATTTTTTATTTATATAAATTGCATTATATGTAATTGCTTGCAATCGATGCTGAATCTGTTTAGCAATTTATTATTATTATCAATCTGTCAAACATTTATATAATAATGTTTATGATAATATCCGCAAGCTTGGGAAATAAACAAGCCAATAGAGCGATTTTCAATTTGGTTCTTACAAACTACTGTTTTTAGTTATTTTTTTAAGCTTACAAGTTAAGTCTTTGTGTTATATTATCTTGATTACTAGATAACTAGATATAATATAACTATATACATAACTTAATAATGCACAAATGATATTAGCCAATAAATTTTTTTCGGGTTTGTTTTTAAACCCAAAATGGGTTGATACTATTGACCTTAAATGCCCTGAAGAATATTTAAAAAAATCTCACCTTTTCCCAATTTGGAATTTATGAGCTTTTAAGTCCCATCTAGAGCTTTCATAAAATTAGTACCATAATTTGGTTATTGTTTTATTTAATTAATTTTGTTCATTTAAACTTAACAACCGTAATACTGAATAACATATCTAGAACTACAGTAAAAATATCAAAATTGCCCCAATTTTTCAAGAATTTAGACTTTTTGTTGAACTATGAATTTGAAGTTTTTGAAATCGGTCTATATCGGTATATATATATATATATTGGGGTGGTCCTTAATATGGATGTTTTCGAACTTCCTTGCACCCAGGGACTCAAATTTTTCCAAATTGATACAATAAAATTCTCAAAAATATTAGCTCTTTAACAAGTCCGCACTCTAACCAAAGTTTTTTAGTTCTTCTTCCTAAGTAAATACTTTTTTTGAAATATATCAAATTTTTGTTGTAATTTTTTTATTTGTGATCAAAATGAGCAAATACAATGTCATTCTCAAAATTTTGATTCAATTGTTGTTAAGTTATAAAACAAATGGAATTTTACTCATGTTATTAACATATAAACTTTGATTGGTGTGCGGACTATCTTAAAGTTAATATTACGAACTATAACTTTCAGATATTTTTTTTATCAATTTGGAAGTATTCGAGCCCCTGAGAACAAGGAAATTCGAAAACAACCATATTAAGGACCACTCTAATATATTTCTATTTTTTTTATTCGACGTTGAGAAAAACTAAAAAAATGTTTACTTTATATTGTTTTTAAAAATTTTGTTATTGATTTTCCTGGTGTGACACTGTACAAATATCAAAAAAATTGCTGAATGATGACACACATACCGTGTCGAAACGTATAAATAAATAGTTCATTATTTTTTTTATAATATTGAAGAATTGATGTGCTTTAAGATAACAATATTTTATCAATTTTGTTCAATTCGATAGTGTATCAATACACTGTCAATAGTTGATTATAGTGTGCCTATAAGTAAAGATATATATGATGCGCCCAAGAAAATTCATTAATAAATGACACAGATAGAATTGAAAAGTTGCCCTTTAAACATTGATTAATTTTCTAAGACATATCATTATGGATACGAATAATTATCCTGTAATGAGATCTATAGAAGCAATATAGGTTTTTACATAACTTCCTTTCGATATCAAATGCTATAAAACGTTCGTTGCAATTTTACGCTTCCGGCTTGTCGTCGTCACGAGACTGAGTTCCGCTTTTGTAAATCAGTCTTGAATTTATGAAATAATCGCTTCGTTATGAAATTAATAACATAGTCATCATAATATTTCCTGATATCATATAAATACATATGTTTGAAAGTTTTCATAATTCGGTGCTTTAATGCTTAATTCA